GAGAGCATTGTATTAACCTTTCAATAGATCTCTTTGGAGCAGTTGGAATCTGGAGGGCACTACTCGAAGCTGCATGGGGCTTAACATCTTCCAATTCTTCATCACTTGGAATAAAAGAACTTTGGCCCAATGCATTATCTTCCTGCTTTGGCACAGCCGGGGTCCTCCTTACAGCCAACCTTGCTTTGTCCCTAGAACCCCATCCATTTGCCATCACGCTCATATTTCTCCACTTATCCTGCCGAGCATCAAACCACACAAACCAATCAACACAAATCCCTAAAGAGCTGTCAACAAGAGAGAAAAAGTGAAGGGATTTTGTACATCAGCAAAAAGAAAAATGCAAAAAATTATATTCTATTTAAAAAGGTAAAAAGACTATTCACAGCATCAAGCAGAAACAAATTATAACCCAGTACCCCTCATTAAAACCAAACATGTTAAATAACCACAAAACATTCGCACTTCACCATAGAGACTTCTATATTGGTAAAAAAAAGTGTCATTCAAAGCAACTATACATACAACAAGGGCAACGGAGCCAACCTTGAGATCCACGTTGGAACGCAGGTACAAAACACTGCTAAACTCAGGGTCTTTAAGTATGGTACGCCACTTTCCAGGCCCATGCTTGATGACTCCTGCTTTCAGTGCTGCCTCTTCTTCTGCAGTCCATTTCTGCTTAGGTGCCCCCATTTAGCACAGCACAAAGAAACCAGTTTCTTCAAATGTATCCAATCTGCCAAATCCATTCACACCATATTAGCTCACAATCAAAGGCATGAGGATAAAAAGAAAATAAAATAAAATAATATAATTCACTCCTTTATACTCAAGACAATACAAACTGACCCATATAAATAAAATCAAATTTTAGCTAATTCACAATGAACTATATCATCCAGACGTAAATTCATCACTACCCAATTTAAAGTTATCCCATCATTCCAATAAAATTTCAATATTCTGAATTTTTTTTTAAAAAAATTAGTAAATTACAAAACTTTACTATCACATCCGGTGAAATAAGTACACACCATGGATATCTATGAGCTAAAAGCCCTAAATTCGACGGCAATTAAACTAATAAGCAAGATAACTTAAAATAATCAAGAAATATCGAAATTAATCACATAATTAAATAGATTACGCGAAATTCAGAGAGATTAATATCAAGAAGAAGAAGCATAAGAGGAGGAGGAGGAGGAAGAGGAAAAGGCACAGACTTACCGGAGAGATAAGCTAAGGCGGAGGAAGAAAGGAATAAAGATTCTGGGTAATTCCGAACTATTTATTGGATTCAAATTCTGTGGTTTTTTTCGGCAAGTACAGCTGAGTGACACCTGTTTTTTTTTCCTTTCTTTGTTTTCTTTTATCCCTTTTTTTTTCTATCAAAAAAGTTTTTTGTTTTTTTTTTTGAGAAATATTCTCAGTGCTGCTGATAGTTCTACACTTATACAGAAAGAGGCTGCTGATTTTTTATTTTTATTTTTTGGCTTCATAGTTAAGGTTGCACTAAAGTAGCTTCTAAGCACTTCAAAATTAATTTTTTTGTACACAATTTTAATTTGGACTCTATATGGACTTGGCACATTCAACTTAACATATAAAATGATAACACTTATTTAATGATGAAGTTAATTTTGGAATAGAAAGAGTTTTATTGATTGAATTGTTTTATTCACATGAATTTTTTATAAAATATTTTTTGTATACTTCAAAATTAATCTTTTGTAAACAATCTTAATGTGAACTTTACGTAACTTGATACATTCAACATAACCTATAAAATGATAACACTTATTTGGTAGTGAATTTAATATTGGAATTGAAAGATCGAGTTCCATTGGATGAACTATTTTACTCACACAAACTCTTCGTTGGCATTAGAAGAATTTCTAATGCATGAAACATTTCTATATAATAAAGAAATGCTCTAAATCAAGTATGTCAGTAAATTGCTTCAATTGGTGGATTGTAAGGACCTCGGACGTCTTAAGTTTGGTCATTAAAACCAACTATTGCCTCAAGGGAAAACATGGCCAACGTCAAATAACTTGATGACTAAAGTCGAAGTCATCCTTCATCCTAGTTGCACGATAAGTATAGTGAGACCGTAGCTAATTAATCTTTTTTTAAAGATATTTGCTCTATTAATCACATTAAATTTTAATTATTTCATTAAAAAAATCACATAGATATTTCATCAAAACCTATAAATATCAACCGAAAGTCACCTGCTTCAGATATTTAAAATTAACCTAAAATTTTTTATTTGCTTTTCTTTAGACTAAGTTATTGCTGAGGTTTACCTAAAAGACCAAGTTCAAGACTTTACAAGTCAATCCAAAGAGAATACTCAGACCGAAAAAGACCAGATATTTTTTGCAATTACATGGACTATATATATAACAGTTATTGGGCTCTCGAGTCTCGAAGACAATCCTCCCGGCAAAGAGGATAATGTCAAAATAAGAAGTGAGTTAACTCCCGATAACGTGGGGACCAATAGCTACCTCTGAGAAGCTTTGACACAAAAGGCAGGCCTCCTACCAAGTTGGAAACAACTAATGCCTGCAAGATTTATAGATCAAGTCCCTGATATTATAA